CAGATTTGTTACGTGACAGCATTAATTAAAGTTTCTTAAGGGTCAAGATTATGTTATCTGCATCTCCTGTGCTCCATCAAGCCACTCCCATAATATCTGTCACCACTCAAATTAATGCACGACTCTACATTATCTGTATAGCATGTGTGTAAGACTCTAATACAATTATGAAGTAATAATTTTATGACGAATAAATCTCTCAGTGAGTAAAACCGGCTGTGTCTATAGTATTAAAGGCTACACAACATTATTATATTATCTTTAAATTAATTTTGTAATTATTATTATTTTAAATTATTGTCCCTGGATTAGTAGGGTACTCTTGTAATAAAGTAGCGGTGGCTGGGACATATTTTAAATATCAATTCTGCTTAAAAAGATGCAATCTAATCCTGTTTACATTAAATAAGCCTGCTCCCGAGCAGGTTTAAGCTTACGGACATGTTGCTATGACAGCAACTCCGGGATGAGCTTCGAAGAACCAAATAATCCAAGATCATGCTAAATCATCAACAATCAAATCCAGCTAACTGAGTTAGCGACGTACGAAGAATGGGCCCCAGGGCTGCGTTTCTCAAAAGCATCGTGGGATAAGTTATTCATAGAGACCATTGGTGGCAATGGATCTATGATCTACTTGGCTTACGATGCTTTTGGGAAATGTAGCCCCGATCCTAGGGCTGTGCAATTAATCGCATGCGATTATAATGCGCATCTCGTCAGTAAAGCCGGTTCCGTGATTGGTAGTAAATCGCCATCACCTGCTTTCATATGGAGCGGCATTTACTACACAGAGCCGTAGTTCGCATGCACAGCCCTGCCCGATCCGGACCCTGTGTTGGTTCCATCTGGACAGTGAATCATTTTTCATTTGGTGTAATTGTAAACAAAGATACACAGCAACAGAAAACAAGAGATTTGCAAAATTGTTTTGAAACCTCCATAGCTACTTGCTACAGCCACTGAAATTCCCTGTCAGACTGAAATAAAATTATTTAAAAGCATCATATGTGAACTGTTTAGTACGAATTTAATTTAAATACATTTAAATAACTTATCAAAGCCAGCTTGTGATGTTTCTGATCTTTAGCTAACATTTAAATCATCTTTAGTTTATCCGTAACGCTGTTGTAGAAATACTAATGTTGTTGTTGTAAATTGTTTAGCTTTTTAACATTAGCCCATGCAAAAGAAATACCAATACCAGTGGACTTTGTTTGACAATTAGATACAGAACTGTTCATCCATTAGAAAACGCTCCTTTGTCCATTATGAAGGATCTTTACTGAGAAAGTCCTTCATGATGGACATTCATAACTTTTTTTAACAACTATGATTTAAAAAAAAAAATGCATATGAATTTTGTTGTTCATATCGTCTCTCTTCATTAAGTTTACTTCCTGTCAATGGCAATTATTTTATGTCACATTCAGCCTAAATCATTTGGTAGATGAACATTAGCAATGTGAAAGCAAAACAAACCTCACAAAATGTGGGAAACTGCCGTGAAACTGTTTCGGTGTGCAATACATAAATAATGTGATAGAATCAAGGGCTGTGATTTAACTGTATCACAAGCTATTATTTAATAATAGAAATAAAAAATCTAAATCTTGTGGTAAGAGTGGCGGATCACATAATACAATAATTATGGCTTTCTTCTTATGAATCTGAAAATATGAGTTTCCCATTTGCCCTCAGCAGAGAGAACATCATATCATTAGCAAAAAAAAAAAAAAAGCGTATGAGAAAAGACAAGTTTAAATTCAAATCACACATAGGTAAAGCCTATAAACCTTTAAACAACAAGGATTGTAAAGCTTTGTCAAGCCAGCATTCAAAGTCAAACATGGCTTTTCTGGTTAAAAATTGTAAATTAAATGAGGTTAAATTAATAACTTTGAACTCTGAACTTCCTTACATTCCGATTTAAATGGAAATACCTGTTTGTTACTTCATTTCCAATTCCATTCAAAATCAGGAATGGAGTAGGAACGTTCCCAATTTATTTCTGAATCACACACAATCCTGATAAGTGTTTAAAATACAGTATAGCCATAATTTAGCATCATGTGCATATTCACAACAGACATTGTGAAAGCACAAGGCTCGCTTCACTTGACCAACACTGCAAAACAAAAGAGACCCAAATGGAAAACAATGGCTTATTATGGCTAATCTACTTTTTAAAAAATGGTCAGCCGAACAGTAAACAAACGATTCAACCAAATTTGATTGGGCAGCAGAAGAAGACAAGACACACACAACAGCTCTTAAAAAAATCCAGGCCCCTCACATAGCCATGATAAACTAAATAACACAGCTCAGGATTAACACAGAAATTCATAAACGCAGTCTTCAGCCCACATAACAGATGGGACATTATGTTTGTATGTATTACATCACATGCAATTATCCCAACGTACAGTGTTCTTTCTGAATGCCACGGTAACGAAAGAGCATCCTTTCTGGCCTACCCTCCCCCTTCCTCTCACCTCCTCTCCATCGTTAAACACTGACCTCCACCTGATATATTCTCAGCCAAAACGAACAATCCATTTAACCAGAGTCACAACTGAACAAAGCTAATTTTCATACATTACCCTTTTTCTTAGGAGAGCACTTAACACTCACATCAGACGCAGGAGAACCTCTCAGATTCAACCCCGGATCACATCACATGACTCTGTACCATCCGCTCCTTGCTTATAATCATGTGACCTGAATAAAAATAATGTGGGATTATGGGATGTGTAGTTTGGAGAAGCAATAGAAAACGATAAGAATGAGTTAGATTTAAAAAATTGTATGACTAAATAGAAAATGTGGAAATATTGTGACAAAATATATTCAAACTACAGGAATTGTTGTAAATATTATAAATAATAATGTAAATAATTTTGTTTACCATTAAGGGAATCTAGTTCAAATTTGAATGATTTAAATAAAAATTCTTGCACTGTGCTTTTTTTTTTTCACTTTGCATTGTAGAATCTAAGTCATTAAAATTAATTTTTAATATGGGCACACTGGAAATTAATAAAAGACGAGAATTAAGTGGAAGAAAAGACTGGACTGAGAAAATGACCTTTCTGGATCAGGCAGAGAGAGTGGCCATTAATATTACATTAGCTCATGTCTGTGTGCATGTGTGGGAGGGTGGATCAGCAAACACTTCTGGGTTAAAGGAGGCTACAGACCTGACAGACGGCCCACCATCTCCTCATTCCCTCCTGCTACACACAAACACACACACACACATTTCTCCTAGTAAGTGGATGGAACTGTTAAATAAAGAGCATCTGAGAGGGGCGGTACATAGTGAAAGTGAATTAACTGAAACAGGATGTCACTCCCGCCACCCCTCGACCTTCACACACTCACACCGTCTGCATATGCAATGCATGTAAACCTCAGGCCCAGATCTAGGCCACTGCCAGGACCACCGGCCAAATGTGACACTCTGAATTCATCATCAACAGCACAGGACCGGCATTAATTCATGACATACAGCCAGGGACGAGGCAAGTCCTCTACTTCACTGTGATTAGCTGAATACCCTGTCAATCAAAAGCCATGTTAGCATCCAAATGAATTAAATCTGTGGAAACTGGTGGAAAAGGATAGACTAATGGCATCATAAATAACTCACTTAGACATTATCACATCCAAATGGAAGTGAAATTGACATGATAATGTGTGAGTGCTGGTTTTTAATGACCACTCAGCTCTGTTAAATTAAAGGTCCAATGACCGTCATGACACCTGCGGTGTTTACAGGGGATTTAAAAAAATGATCTCAAAGACATTAACTATTAATATTAATAGCCATATATTCACATCCCTCATGTTACCGTGTCCTAGGGAGAAACACATTTATTGTATTATTCCTAAACTATATTAAGCAATAATGTTTGTTTCTATATGCACACACACACACACTTACATATGTGTTTGTGTAGTTTTAATTCAAAATTGTTTTTTTAACAAATGTTTAAACAAATAACTATTATATATTAGTCATATTAATAGCTATATTAAATATGCATTATTAATATTAATAGCCATACATATATACATATATGATAAAAAAAAGAAAGTTTTTAAAGAAAATGTGTAGAAAAAAAGTGTGTGTGTGTGTGTGTGTGTACTATTTATTTGTTATTTTATTTTATTTTATTTTATTTTAATTTTATTTTTGGTACAAAAAAAAAAGACTATTCTGTTCCCTAATCCAGAAAGGGAACTGAAACATGAATTTACCTTGGATTAAAAAATAATTTCTTATTTCTGAAACCAATCACATACCACTGCTATAGACCTGTCTATTGGTTTAGGTTTTATTTGTGACAGGTGGGCATGTGCGATACAGATTCAGGGGTCACTGCTAAGGAGGTAGATGTGGCCCTTGTGTTTCCTTACACTGACTGTGAGAGAGATGTGGTGATAGGACATGAAACGAAGCAGCATGCCACAGTCTCCAGACTGAATTATTGATGCCGCCCATCTGCTGACAGAGGAGCAGTCTGTCAGGCCTCCTCAGTGTCACCACTCTGGGGGCTCAGAGATCCTGGCCTGTTCATTCTCACCTCCTGCTCAAATAAGAGAATCACCTCTTGACCTGATCTCTCTCTGAGAGTTTTTCAGCAGTGAGAACAAGAGGAGCAGTAATATATAGTAATGTAGAACATACAGTTATTTTCTTTTAATAGGTATATGCATACACATATACCTGCTTGATTATGTTGTCATATTGACCCAGGAACATATTGTGCTTCAAGGTAAAAAAAAAAAAACGTTCTAATTATATTAGTATTGCATTTCTACTCCAAGCCGTTGCCGAGATCGTTTAGATGTTGGCTGAAACTTTCCTTTTTTGCTTTGTAAAACTCAGAATATGTTTCTGGGTCAAAGTGGCTGTGCAAAATGATGCAAAATTGATAGCAGTTTCAACTGCAATATAAATAACATTTAGCATCGTATTATTCCCCTGCTTATATATAAAAACTGAAAGATCAAAATGCTGCCAGTAAAAGGGGGTTCACATTTGAAACTTCTTTAAAAGAACAAACGTGCAACAAACTGAAGAGAATATAATTGTTTTTGATCCATTACATTCCACTTTTCATTCCACGCAGTATTTAAAACCTACTAAATATAAATAATTGCAATGTAACACGTGACATTTAAAAAATATAATATATTTTTTCAGTTTTTTTTAT